AAGTCACACATATTTATGTGTGCACACTTGCACACACACAGACCCACGTGCACGCGCACGCACGCACACACACACACACACACACACACAACACATCACTAAACAGGCCATTTTGAAGGGAGGAAAAAGAAAACTACTAGGAGATAGAGCTACTGGTTCCTTGTCCCCGTTCTAGTCCAATAAATGCTGTTATATAAATCACAATCTCTGTCCATATAATTCCGCTACAAATATAAAGCCCGAATGAACTATAGTAGTTCTATATTACATATTGAACAACGCCGTGAGATAATTAACAAGTAATTACAATATGATCTTAACAAATCGAAATTTTGATGTGGCTCAAGAAAGAATTTAGATGTCATTTTTAATTAGCAACTCATTAAGCAGAGGAGGAGAACCAAAATTTGATTCTGTGAATTTAGGCATTAAAAAAAACTGAACTGGATCGGATTCAGTATTCCACCCCAGCTGATAATTAAGATGACAAGACGGCTTGGGAAAAGCATTACCCCCAGATATCATCTGCTTGTCACAAACAGAAGATGTGTTGATGCTTTCCATTGTCATTCTTTGTAGAGGAATATCAAGCTAAATGTGAACAAGCAATTAAGTAAACATCTTCTTAACTTCAGGAAGAAAGAGGAGGTAAGAAAGAGATTTATGATAACCCTGTCTTGATTTTTACTAAAAGAGGGGGCAGACAGAAATTGTTAGACTTCATGATTCTTCTACTATACCCTAGCCAGAGGTGGGGAACAATGGCCCCTTTATGACTTGTGGACTTTATGACTACCCTACACCAGAGATGGGGGAAGGATGGTCCAGGAATGGCCCAGGAATTCTGGGAGCTGAAGTCCACAAATAATAAAAAGGCCATCGTTCCAGTGGTGGGACTCAAAGTTTTTTACTAATGGTCCTGTGGGCATGGCTTGGTGGGCGTGGTGTGGCTTGGTGGGTGTGGCAGGGGAAGGATACTGTAAAATCTTCATTCCAACCTCACTCCAGGGGAAGGTTACTGCAAAATCCCCATTTCCTCCACATCAGCTGGGACTAGGGAGGAAGAGAATAGATGGGACAGAGATGGTATTTACCGGTTCTCCGAACTACTCAAAATTTCCGCTACCGGTTCTCCAGAACTGGTCAGAACCTGCTGAATATCACCTCTGCATCGTTCCCCACCCCTGCCATGTACCAATAAAGCAGAATTCCAGTAGTCCTTATAGTATCAGTTTCCTGACTTGGCCCTACCTTGACATGGCCCTTTAAAGGAGAAGAGACAAATGTGGCAGATGTATAACCACATATACTGGCATTTCAGTAAAGGTGTCGGCAGCCATTTTCCTATCATCTACAATAGAGTGGGGTAACTGCAGTTGGTCCAGAATGCAGCCGCGCAAGCAATACTGGGTACCTAGATACACCCATGTTACATCCATCCTCCGCGAGCTGAACTGGCTCCCTAATGGTCTCCGAACGCGCTTCAAGGTGCTAGTCGTTACTTTTAAAGGCCTACATGGTTTAGGACCTGGCTACCTGAGAGACCGCCTCCTGCCACATACCTCCCAACGACCAACAAGATCTCACAGGTTGGGCCTCCTCGGGGTGCTGTCGACTGGACAATGCCGGCTGGCGGTCCCCCGAGGGAGGGCCTTCTCTGTAGCTGCGCCGCCCCTGTGGAACGATCTACCCGTAGAGATCCGGACCCTTACCACTCTCCTGGCTTTCCGTAAAGCCACTAAGACCTGACTGTTCCAGCAGGCCTGGGGCTGTTGACCAATGTCCAACCCCACTTAGAATGGATGGTGTGTAATTTTAACAATTGTATTTTTTATTTTNTCTTCCTTCTTCCAGTACTGCGCCACCAACAGCCTTGCTGCCGTTGTTAAGTTCAGAGTTCTCAAGAGGCAACTGGACTTTCTGGTTTACTTTGAAGATGTTTTCACTTGTCATTCAAGAAGCAGAAGAACCTTCTTCGATGACAAGCGAAACCTCTTCAAAGAAAAAAACCCAGAAAGTCCGGTTGCCTCTTGATATGACAATCTACTTCTCCCACAGCTGGGGAATGCACAATCGTGGCTCTCAAATATATTCGGAATCTTCTTTCAGATCCTTCTACACAAGAGTGGAAAGTGGAAAGCTGCACACGGTCAGGAGAATAGGTGCAATTTCTGAAAATATTCTTGGAATTGGAAGCAGCTATTGGAAGCTCTCGTTAAGGCTTGGCTTGGTTTATTGGATTTATATGCCGCCCTTCTCCCAGTGGTTAAATTATTTGAATCCCACCACTGGTGCAGCACCTCTGACACATCTTTAAATCCCATGCATTCTTCTTGACCCTTGCTGCCCTGACACACCTTAGTTGACCTACACAGCACCTCGTACACATATTTGTGACCCCAAGAAAAAAAGGAAGGGGGACAAATACTGAGGGAGGAAGGGAAGGAAAGAATGAAAGAAGGAAGGTTGATTTATGATGTTCCTTGCCAGTTTCCCATAAGAAAACTCAATGGGGAAGCCAGCAGGAAGTCAAAAGTTGGTCCTGTTCCCACTGGATTTTTTTTTGCCGACCTAGGAACATCCTCTTCTGCTGAGGCAAGAAAATATCTCTGAAATGATGACCCAACACTGTCCAGTAGAATATAAACTTGGCTGCTTCCTCTTCACTGAATTGAAAAGTACTAATAGACGAATGTAGTGGAGTGAAATGATATAGATGTATAATGGGAAATGCTGCCAATTAAGTTATTATGGACTCATTCTTCAATAAGAGTCTGCCTGCATATGCATAATTAAAAGTGAAGTGGAATAAGGGTAGGCATATAAATCTCATACGCCAACACCTTTATGCAGCTGTCTCCTCTACAATTTTTGATGTGTTGGTCATTAAGCTCTGCAAGGAACTGAATTTAACTTTAATTTAAAAGATATAAACTCCTCTGCAATCTGTAGATCTAATTGTGGCTTCATATGGTTTAAGTCTTTCTGAGAAACCCACCATGGTGGCAATCAGCTAAAATGATATGCAACCAACTTTAGTTTCTGTCCTGTACTTTTCCTTACTTGCATTCATTATTGTGAAAACTTCTACTGCCTCTTTCAGGATTCTATCTTCCTGCTTCTCTCTCACTCTTCTCAACCATTTGTATCTGATTAAATCAAAAAGATACTTGGGGAAAATAAAAAAATAAAAAAACAAACTTCAAGTCAGAAGGGGAAACATGTCCTTACAACTTTTTAATTATTGCAATACTGAAAGTAGTTATAAATTATAATATGTACAATTAACTTGAATGCTAACTGTCCCAAAGAATTAAACNTGTAATTTTAACAATTGTACTTTTCATCTTTAAATTTTTAAATGCTTTTTATCTTGTCTGTAAGCCGCCCAGAGTCCCAAGGGAGTGGGCGGCATACAAATTTTATTAAATTGAAATTGAAATTAGCAGAGGGATAGAGTCAAGGCACTTTCAAGCCTAAAACAAGACTAGAACTCACAGTCTCCTAGTTATTATATGCCAGCACTTTAATCACTGCACCAAATGGCTCTTAAAACCCTATAAAATATCATAAAATGGATGGATGGATGGATGGATGGATGGATGGATGGATGGATGGATGGATGGATGGATGATAAATGAATAGATGGATAAATAATGATACACACTTTCATTTTTCAGGCATGGCATCATTCTTTTACTGTTTGCCAATTCTGTTTCTGATGAACTGGATATGTCTCCTCCGCCTTTCACCTTACTAAAATTAAATGCCTAAAATTAAAAGTATTTAAAATGTTTAAACCATAGTTTCCTCCGATACTTTATTTACCAGTTCCTCATCCAGCTTTCTGACAGCTTATCAGATTGAATCTGTTTGGCCTGTATTAACCTGTATATTCGGTGTCCTGTGTTTTTCCTATCTTGCCTAGCTTTATTGTAAACTTTTAGGCTTCTGGATAACAATATTTCTACCTCCCTCTCCTTCACGCTTTTTTCCAAGAATTCCCCCCCCCCCTGCATTGGGAGTAGATCAGGGGAACCCCATCAATGGGTCAGTGATTAAATGTTTCACTTTAATATTTAGCAAGATTTTCATGACAGCCCTCATAATAGGGAGTGTTCCTAGGAGTTTCTTTTATATAAAAAGTGTGAGAGAATAGATCAAATATTATGATAGCACAAGCTGGTCAATTATTAGCTTTTCTGCAATTTCAGGTCAGACTCTACCTTACAAGGATGGCCATTAATATATGATTAAGTGGCAAAGGAATGAGAAAGAATGTTAAGGGCAGATCGAAGGTAAGGTACTAAATCAGATATATATTTGTACCTCCAATCAGGTACAAATATACCTCAGCATTCATGTGATTTTTTAACCTATTAATAAAGGGTAAAGGTTCCCCTCGCACATATGTGTTAGTCGTTCCCTACTCTAGGGGGCAATGCTCATCTCCATTTCAAAGCTGAAGAGCCAGTGCTATCTGAAGACGTCTCCGTGGTCATGTGGCCAGAATGACTCAACGCCGAAAGGGCATGAACGCTGTTACCTTCCCACCAAAGGTGGTTCCTATTTTTCTACTTGCATTTTTACATGCTTTCGAACTGCTAGGTTGGCAGAAGTTGGGACAGGTCATGGGAGCTCACTCCATTACACGATGCTGGGGATTTGAACCCCGAATTGCCAATCTTTCTAATCGACAAGCTCAGCATCTTAGCCACTGAGCCACCGCATCCCTTAACCTATTAATGCAAGATATTAAAATACTAATTAACATTCTCACCTCCTTCACGCTATGTATTCCATGACATTGGGGAATTTCAGCTCTTCTTCTACTTCTTGATAAGCAAAAGACCACAGAATCTGCCTTCCATGGAATTAAGACATAGAATTGTTCCAACTGAGCTGTTTTGCCCCTCCGTGTCTCTGCCCATGTCAAGAATTCCTTTTGGTAGGACTACTGAAAGTGCTGGTAGCATTGCCAACCTTTAGCCCAAAGTGTCTTCCTTTGAAAACCCAGTGGCGGCTGTATCAGCTTGCATTGTTTCTAAAGAACCAAAAATAATCCTCCTTTGAGTCTTGAATGATTCTCGAATTAAGGGCAACCCACAAAAGGAAAGACAAAAAGACCCAAAGTTATGTGTAAAATGCTCTTGGCAACATGGACTAAACCAGCAAATTCCATGAATGGAGTTTCTTGTATTGCCAGAAAACAAGCCGGAGTGACTAGAATACAGATAGCAAAAGAAATTCCAAATCTTTTTGGTTCTTCTTTGGAGAAACACTAGTCTAGATAGCTAACCAGGATTAAGCCTGGGTAATATTTAGAAGCGGAAATATTTACAGTGGGGAATGCTTATCTGTGTGATGGTTTATTACACACCTTTATCAAGACATAATAAAAAGCAGAAAAATATCATAAGCACAGAATTCCTTCGGATGAAGTTTAGTCCACGGCTTAACAGGTAACTTAGTAAGGTAGTATCGACAAATGAGATCGATCCAAGGCAACAGTTATACTTAGTGAAATAATTCCTCCAGTACAATTAAGAAGGCAGATGTCCACAATGAAAATAGAACAGGTGTTGGGTAGAATAACTGGGCTCTTTAGTAACTTGCAAAACTAATAATTATTTCAATCCCAGTTTAAAGGCCAATCAACTTTCACAGAAGTGAACAGAAATAGGAAGTTGATTTTAGAATCGTAAGTTCAGGTCCTGGAAAAACTGGTAACCTTTGATGCATGCAGGGTATGTTGGCACACATACAAATTGGGCATTGCTTTGATCCTATGGTCACTGTTGCCATCCTGACTACAGGTAGAATAGAATAAAGTAGCAGAGTTGGAAGGGGCCTTGGAGGTCTTCTAGTCCAACCCCCTGCTTAGGCAGGAAACCCTACATCACTTCAGACAAATGGCTATCCAANATATATATATATAAATCTGCTGTTAGCATCTTTTACAACACTAAAGAGGATCTGTTAAAAGAGTCTCCTTTTCTCATGAGATAAAGAGACAAAGGTGACACTGCAGTAGCACTGGTTGGGAATGTCAATTGTAGGCTTTGGATTAAGATTGTATTATACCTTTTTAAAACTTTTCCTATTGTACTTGCCCAGACAAATACTGTTAAATAATCAGATACTGGTGGATAAACATCATTGAGGGGGTCTTCTTTATTTCAGTCTCTTCTCTCTCATGTTTGGGTACAATCTGATTGTGGCAAGAATATCACATCTTGTCTCCAGAAGTTTTGGATGCTCCATCACTGGAGGTTTTGAAGAAGAGATTGGACAACCATTTGTCTGAAATGGTATAGGCTTCCCTGCTTGAGCTAGAATCTTGACTAGAAGGTTCTGTTATTCTGTTTTTCTCTGTTTCAGTTACTACCAGTATTGTTTATCAATATTAATGCCAGTGAATAAAATACCTATTTAGGAGAGAAATTAGGAGTAATTGTTGCTATCTAGAAAGTTCACTGGATAGCACCAGTAAGTTCTCTTTCAGGCTAAATTACATACATATAGTTGTTACATGGGTAAAGTAAATGGAGGCATACTATGTATCTGCACTAATTCTTATAAACTTTTATGTTTTTTTTATTTGCAGTCTTTAAACTCAAAGCCCTCACATTTGTAAAAGTATTTTATATGGTATTTCCCATGACCGCTACCAAGCACAAAAGCCAGCTGAGTGACCTTGAGCTAGCCACTCCCTCAGAGCCCAAATCAGGCTCTGCAACAAGCTAGTTGAAAAACGATACCCCTTGCCATATTGTGTGCCAATAAACTTACTATAAGAACTAGGCCAGCATAGTACAAAACAAGTAGACCCTAGAACTAAGCAGGACAAAGAACAATATAATTTTCTATGGCATTTCTTCCAATTCAAATTTCGGGTGTTCTTAAATATCAGAATCCTTATGCCCAGTAAAGATTATAAACCCATAATTTTAATCTTTCCCAAAATAATGCAACTACCAACCATTGATCTTCACACTCTTTTCCCTCTTCTACAGTTCTACAAGAAGCGAAAAACATACTTTGCTCATGATCCTCAGCAACAATGCATCGAGGGAGACATTGTCCTTCTGAAAGCTTTGCCTGAACGAAAAAGCAAGAATGTGAAACATGAGCTTGCTGAGATTGTGTACAAGGTTGGGAAAGTAATTGATCCCATTACAGGGAAACCGTGTGCAGGCCATAAGTTCCTGGAAGGTGTCTCAGACACAGAAAATCTGACTGACAGAGATACTAGCTTTCTTAGTGAGAAACTCCAAGAACTAACAGTTTCTTCTCCAGATAAATGAAAAGTTGGAAAATTATTTGGGACTTCTCTGCCTGTCTCAAGGAAAAAGTTTTATTGATCTATGTAGGAAGCATGATTAATAATAAACTGAAGCTAGTGTGTACATGCAATGTCACCATTTGTTTTTAAAATATTATATGTTCACTCCTGCCTAAAGGAGCATAAAAGCAATGTACAAACTGAATATTTTAAATAGTTCCAATTGTTGGAAGAAACGTCCATCTGGGTTCAGTTCCAAGTGGGGAAAAAGACACTGGAAACATGGAGGCTGTTTGGAAAGATGGTTTAGTGGCAGACAGGATCACATGCCTCAGAGCAGCGGTTCTCAACCTGTGGGTCGCGACCCCTTTTGGGGTCGAACAACCTTTTCACAGGGGTTGCTGAGGAGCCTCCCGCGGAGAGGCTGGCAAGAAACCAGCCGCAAAGGGAATGAGCAGCTTGGGTTCTCCGCGCGGCAGAAGGAGAGGTGTGGAGGGGGAGTAGGAGCATTAGGCATAAAAGTCTATAGATTCTCAGTCATCCANTCTTGTGGCAACCCTGAAGCCGTAAAGCTGGCCTCAGCCTGGTTTGATTCAGGGTTGACAGAAGAAATGAAATAGTAAGGTATTAACTTCACTACTCTGAATTTTTTTGTCTTGCTCTCGCTCTCTCATCACAAACATCTTCACATACACAAACTTCATGCAAATGCTACGCAGAGTGCAGAAAAGATGAAACGGCAAAAAAAAAAAAAGTAAACATAGGAATAACTTTCACATAGTCCACTTATTATGTCTCTCCATATCTTTTTATCTTCATAAACCGTTGTCCCTTCACTGTGTCTATATAGCATTTCATACATTGCCTTTTGTTTCTTAAACTTCTCACCTTTCTGTTTGAGGAACTTAACCCCATCTAAGCCAAACTTTCTGAGTTTTCTCCTTCCTCTCAAGGGTTCCTTCATCCATTTGTTTTGCAACTGGATTCTTGTGACTTTTCTCCATTTAGCCAAACCATCTCTGTCATCTTCTTTCATACCTTGGTGCTCTCAGAACGTGGTTGTTTTCTTGCAGATGTTTCATTACCCAAACTAGGTAACATCATGAGTGTTAGTCTTTCATATCAGTTATCCATTTAGCCTACATACACTCATTGCCCATTCATTCTCCAACCCTTTTCTTGTTTTATCATGCACCTTTCTAAGTGCCCCATTCCAGGTTATTCATCAACGTTTGATGACTCTCCTGTGGGTTGTGGGTGCTCCACCACTGGGGATTTTCCTGAGTTACTGATTTCTCACTTCCATCTAAGAAAACAGGCAGAAGTATGCACCAACAGGCTGCCATTTTTGCTTCTTGCAATAAACATTCATTGCTAGCAGCAGATAGATCTCTTACTCCGTTTGATTGCAGGTGACCGACTTTAATCTCCATCTGTCTGATAGTTTTCCTTTTTCCTTATGAACCTCATACTAACTGAAAGAATATTTCATTGCCCATTCCCTATAATGAAACAATATAGATGACGATGATGATAGCTAGATAACTAGTTGGATA